ATTTCCCGTTAGATTTGCAAAGGTTAACACGAGGTCAATATCCTGACTTAATAATCACATCATTTGACCCTTTCTATTCATCGCTATGTTACTCTCTCTCTCTCTCTCTCTCTCTCTTAATCTCTCTCTCTCTCTCTCTCTCTCTCTCTCTCACTCACTCTCTCTCTCTCTCCGTGCCCCTCTGTGACCTTCGTTCTTCCAAGCTCACGGTAGAAAAAGTTAGTTCAATGGTACACTTTGTGGCGAGCCGAGTCACGCTGGCCGACAATCCCTCGCCACGTCACAATGCACTAAGATGATGAATCGAGGGGCTCCAGTCCTCTAGTTCGATATCCTGTCGATCGTCGGAGCTCCCCCTGGAAACCCGAAGCTCCGGCTGGGAAACGGCACGCTAGAGCTTCTCCGGTTGTGCCGCCTCACGTCGTGCGATCTGACGCCGCCTGATAAAGGGCACGAATCCCCAAAGCGAGGCCCCGGCCACGAGAATTATGCCCAAAGCCGTGAAGATTCTGCCCCAGCCGCCGAGATGCTCCTCGAGGGCCCCGCAGATCGGCGGCCCGACCAGCTGCAGTACTCCGTTCACGAAGAGCGATATGCCGTAGGAGGAGGTGAGCTTCTCGACTCCAAGCATATCAGCCATCACGACCGCCGTCACACCAACGTAGACACCCGAGGCGAGGCCGAAGACGCTACAGTAGACGGCGACCATAATGAAGCTCGAGGCGACGGGGAGGATGGCCAGCGAGACACCCGAGATAAATAGGCCACCCACGAAATACCAGTGCTTCGGCATGAGCTTCGTGTCCGACAAGGCCGCACCGCCGATTCGTCCTGTAATTATTTCATAACGGTTCTTTATTTTTTAATTTTTCATTATTATGAAAAATAAAGGCCAACGCGCCTTCGGACAAAGTCCCTTAGAGTTCAGTTGCCCATAATCTTACACGAACAAAATTTTTTTCTTTTTTTTCTCAACAAGACTTGACTAAGAACTTGCCCAACTCCAAATGTTTAGAATATGCTGGATAATATTGGTAACATTGCAAATATTTGAAATGATCGTCTGAATTAAAAATTGTCGAGACATTGGTTGGAAGGCGACAGTGTCGAGATCTCGAGAGGGAGGCGAATCCCCGAGGCAAGACCTACCCGTGAGATCGAAGAGCGAGACGATGGAGAGGAGCACCGATGCTTGATTATCGCTGAAACCCAGCTGCACGGCGTAGAGCGTCAGGACAATGACGAAGTTCGTATAGCTGATGGCGTTGGTCGAGTTGGAGATTAGTATTACGAGGTACATGGGGTCTCTGAGGAGTTCGCAGTCGAAGAACCGGTTGCGCGGCTCCTCGTCCTGCTGCTTCGGCTGCTTCTCCGGCGACTTCCTGAAGGTCGAGCTGATGGCGTTGAGGGTAAGCGTCGAGGCGTACTCGGGCTGGAGGGCGGTGAGGGTGCTGCCGTGATACGGTGTGCTGATGTAATTGAAGGAGGAGCTGCTGGGGGAGAGGACCGGGGCCCTCGGACGTCTCGAAAGCCTGTTGCTCTCGGGCACGGCGTGAAGGGCCGGTGTGCTGTGCATCTGTCCGGCAATCTCGCGACCGCTCACCGGCACGCTTATCTTCCGTATCCTGCTGCTGTTTGCCGTCGCCGTCGGCTTATAATAGTTCTCGAGGGCAACGCTCGAGGCGCTTTTTGGGACGATGGGCGCAGCGACCTTGACGTCCCCGTTGCCGCTGCTGAGATCGCCAACGGGCGCGGATGCCAGCAGAAGGTTCCTAGGTCGTGTCGCGTCCTCTTCCGGGCTCGTCAGTGTCTCGTCGAGGTCGGCTTCGGCCTCCGCCAGCGGCTCCAGCGCCTCTTCCGCGTCCCGGTTCAGCTTCGCCGGGATCATGTGCTTTTCCACAGGCTCGTATAAAAGGGCACACGCCCATACGTTCAGCGTCAGCGCGCCCATTATTAGAATCGTGTCGCTGCAATGGATAACGAAACGATAGGAGCTTGCGGAAGCTTTCGTCGAAGATTTCGTAAGACCAGCTAAAGCGACTCTGCTCTTTATTCGGCTACTTAAGCGTAATTCTTATGCGCATCTAATGCGGGCGCTCGCGTTATTCTCAGGTTAGTAGCGCCAGATCTTGGAAACGACAAAAATATTAAGCTGTTTAGGAAGTGTGCGTATTAAGAACATTGAGCACGCGCAGCGTGTGCGATCAGTTTACGAGAGAAACTTGTTGCGTTAGCGTCGTGCATAAAGTGCATCATCGACATGATGCGCATAGGAGCTTCGGTGCTGTCAGGAACTAGAGTGTCGCCGAAATTTACGGAATGATAATCGGCGAATGACAGAGATCGCGGGTTACTGGAATTTTTCACATATTCGAGATATCGTGTAGATTACATTGTTGCAAGTTGTCGATAAGGACGTACGAGGAAATAGGCGAGAAGTTGCGCGGATGTAATGGCGATAATCAGGACGATGGGGCGTGAGAAATATGGACTGACGCTATCCGAGCGTGGACGGTTTTTTTTTTCAATCGGGATGTTGAGTGAGAGAAGAATAAATAGGGGAAGAAGGTTCTTTGAGCTGCTGTTGTTTAATTTGTAAATGCCAAAGCACGTTGAAGTGCCGTAACGATAAAAGTATAATTAATAATTAATTGTCAGAATATTTTGACGCTTGCGAATGTTAATAATGTGTGTGTGTGTGTGTGTTTGTGTGTGTGTGTGTGTGTGTGTGTGATGTAGAAGGATATTACAATGGTCAAAAGAAAATAAATGGACTTTAAAGAGTCATGGTGTATTACATATTTTATGAATAAACGAAACATATTGAGTTTTTCATTTTATTCATTTATTTCTTTATTTATTTCATTTGTTTTTTTTTTTGTCTTTTTTTGGCTTTTGTTTTTCTACTTGCACGCGTGAAAATGCGATTATTTAACAGCATATTAAGTAACTATAAGTAGAATGTGGCGATAGAGAAAAGTGAATGACGGGGGGAGAGAGGCTGAAATAAAACCAAACACAATATATGTACTAAAGTAGTTAAAATAATTGCGAAAGAGCCGGCATGATAAATAAAGCTAATTGATGTAGAGATAGAGAGATAGATAGAGAGAGAGAGAGAGAGAGAGAGAGAGAGAGAGAGAAGAGTGTGATAACGCAGCGCTCGAACGTGAAAAATGATAAGGCGGTGAACCGGAGGGCTAGAAAAGGACAACTGCCAATGGGAATCCAGCCGATGCCGCGATTTCGAAGACGAAATATATTTTGCAAACATAGTAGTGGGGGCGAAAATGTATTAATGTAGAAACGCGGATGACCCATAATCGGGACCGGGTCAAGAGAATACTAAAGAGGAGCAGCAAATAGATGCAATATCAGCAACAAATATGATAAGCTGGCCGAGCGATTTCAAATGCAGCGGAAAAATGCATTGCAAACGACAAAGCCAATGACGTGCGAATTGGCGAGTGGGGATTTTAGCGACTCGGTAGAAAACGAGAATAAAGTAATAAAGAGCGAAGCCAAGCCGCAGCAGGACTTATTACAATACAAACGCGAGAGATAAAGGATCGCTTTTGCATTGTGATATTATTGGGAATAATTTTTTCAGGAATCCATTGGAATATTTGTAAGCGTGTAATAAGACAGAAGTAATAATGGATTTGTTTTAAGTAAGTATCAGCGCGTAATGTAAGCGATGAGTTTATCTATTGGTACTTTTGCGATTAAGAGTTGATAAAGAATATTTGATAAAATCCGCAGAATAGGAGTTTCCTTTTATTTTCCAATATTGGCACTTGCGCTTATGATAATGGATACTACAATTCGCGCGGACAATTAAATCATGTGAATTTAAAATGAAACTCGATAGTAAATTTGGACTTTAAAAAAGAAGAAACAGAGTGAATGCGAGAATTTTATTACACCTTTAATCAATTCGTGCGTATTACTTTTTTAATAACAAAAGATATCAAATACTTATTTTTTTTTCTTCTTAATGAATTAGTTTATATCATTATTTTTAATTAATAATACGGATAGAAATAAAAAAAACAAAAGAAGAAGAACGAAAGAACAATTTTTTGGCAACGAATTGGAAATCATCAACACTTCGTCTACGATAATCCATTGTTATATGGAATTTTAATGAAAAAAGAAAACAAAAAAGAAAACAAAAAACAAAACAAAAAACAAAAATAAAACAAAAAAACAAAAAAAATAAAAAAAAAAAAGCTGAAAATAATTGTAATTTGCAAAAAAGTATATACAAAATACAAGAGGAATAATTAAAATACATTTAATCTCCTGCCAATGTTTATCTTCATCTTTTTTCTTTTTCTTACCGTCACTTCAAATACAATTAAGAATTCGTGAAAATCTATTAATAGTCTTCTACATGTTATTTAAAATATGTATTATTCTTGTAGTTTAATACCTTATGGTTTACTGACAAAATTGTACTGTGTTGTATTTATTTGTTTAAAAACAAAAGACAAAAACAAAAAAATGAAAAAAAAAAAAAAAATAAAAATAAATAAATAGAACAAGAAAAGAACAATTATACTAACTTGCCGTATAACCAACTGTTAGAACAATGCAGCTTTACGACGACGTTTGATCTTAAATTTTATGGCGAATAAGACCGAGTAAAATGACGAGGTGCGTTAAATGATTTGAGTCGGGTGAATCGTAGAGATGAGATCTAAAGCAGCTTCCTATTTACTTTCGTTATTAACATTTTCGGGCATAGAACTCGATCTGAGTGGAAATTACAAAAAATATCCTCACCTAACGTCATAAACTTCCAACATTTTGGTTAAGACTGGAGGTAGAATGATGGAGCCCAGAGAGCTCCCGGAGATGCAAAATCCATTGGCAAGGCCCCGTAGCCTAACAAAGTAAGAGGTAACGATGTATACAGTCGGTGGAAAGGCCAATCCAGCACCTATGCCCACGAATACTCCGTAACTAGAACAATAAAATAAAATAATTATAAGAGCCGAATTATTAAGAATTGGAAGAACATAGTTGAAAAATGTCTTCAAGGGCATTCGATTCAATCACCCAAAGACATTTTCATGAACGTCGAGGCAAATTTTGATCCCGTAAATTCATCATCCGTCATTACTATAATACAATATATTGAAATTTAATTAAATATTTATTGCTCGAGAATTTAATTAAGAAATTAAGAAACATTATTATGAAAAATATCTTAATCGCATCAATTAAAGTTATGTGGAATATTTACTTGATGAGACATTTTTGGAAACTCCTCGTTACATCGTATATAAGTACCTTATATATAGATATTCAATAGACGTAGCAAAGTAGCTCAACATCATTCCCGCTGCGGCAAAAGTACCACCGACTAAAGTGACAGTCCGATACGAGTACCTTACCGAAAGAACACTTGATAGTGGACCTGCAGAAACAACAATATAATTTTGCAATTCTCATTTTTCATGCTTAACAATTATAAATCCACAACAGCAAACAACTCTACACGCTCTTCTCTCTCAATAATAAATACTTGAGCTTTAAAGTATAAGGAAAAACTTCTGGAATAAGGAAAAAAATCTCCGTATAATGATAATGTAAGTAGCTTCGAGTTACTTTTAAATTTCCCCTACTCTTCAATTAATAATTAATATTAGCTAATAATGTTGCATTCTTGAACTCTACGACCTGTCGAAATTCCAATGAAAATTATTGTTTTCCAATTAGCTACTTCGCGTACGAATAATTTGTATTATATCGTATAGGCTTCGGTCACGCGGCATCGTCCACATGAAATTTGTAATCTACTCCGTGGTTTCCGACCGGCATCCTAATTCCACGTGAACGATGTACTAAAGCAATCCGCACCGCCACCCAGTACGCACGCACGCACAGAGAGAGAGAGAGAGAGAGAGAGAGAGAGAGAGAGAGAGAGAGAGAGAGAGAGACATACCTAAAGAACTGTACAGAAAATAGCATAGCGCGGGAATCCAAGCTCCCAAAGTGGCCTTTGCATTGTAGGTGCTGAGGAAGGCCTTGTAGATGACACCAAAGGACTTTATGCCGCCCGGGATGAGTACGTTCACCATGACAGCTGCCACTAGGACGAACCATCCCCAGCCTCCATCGGGCGGCACCATTTCACCTTCCATTGCGGCTGCCTTTTTATTCGCTGGAAATAACAAGTTTTTACATTTAAACTCCTCGCCCCTGCGACGGCGCCTTATCTTCCTAAAATCCGACTATTACAATTCGAAACATTCGATTATAAACAAAGACCCGCCATTTATAAATATAACAGCTGTGCGAGGCATTGCGCATTAAAAGCAAAGGACAATTTGTACTTTGACAATAAATGATTAATCGCTAAATATTTCGTCGTATATTATTTATTTATTTATTTATTTATTGAATTATTAATTAATTTATTTATTTATTATCATTGGCATTTCAATGCTTTCGTTTATTCAATGTAATTGTAATGCAAATGTAAGTATCGACGCGTTTGTCCGCACGGTTGAAAGTGGAAGTTTTTTAAAATTTTATAGTTTTATAACGAAATTAGGAAAGTTGATTTTATGGATCGAGATAGTCAATTTTATTATAATGTGCGAGGATGTTTTCATACTTGCATTCGTCAAACTCATCTGGGATGCTCATTTATAACAATTTATAATTGATTGTCTAAGATGAGAAAGGTTGCAATTAATTTGTTCTCTTAATTTATGGATTGTACTTTTTATTAAAACTTAATAAAAATGTTTCGTTTTTAATTTTCAGCTTCATAAATAATTCCTTGACTAACGCTAATGCTTAAGATCGTGATAATAAAAATTCATAAAATTCTTTAAATTGAAATTTTCATCAGCGAGAAATTGTCGAGTTACGTTGATTGGTTATTTTTTTTTTTTTTTTCTATTTAAAGTGTTGGAAATTACGAAGCCGTAAATACTAATAATTTTATAATCTAGCTTATACGAGACGACGTATCTTCAATTTGAAAATTAGGGTATGTCACGATACAGTATTCCATTGATTTTAATTAGCAGTCATGATTCTAATGAGCAAGTATCGTTAAAAATGTATCCATTTATACTTAATATCAGAGCAATTTTTCTCTTTATTTAGAAGAACGAGATACTCTAAAATAAGAACACTTTAACGATGTTCTTTATTAATCTTTCGTTAAAAACACGAAGTTTCGGTTAAATTTTATTAGCATTGCTCGGATAACCTTGCACTTTACGATCTACAACAAGAACTATCTAAATTAAAATTGTAACTAAACAATTGACTCTTGTTATATAGAGCATCTCAGTTGCATATTTGTTAGATCAATTTACACAAGGGGGCAAGTCGGCAATGCGTCTATCAGGGTTAAGTAAATACTGTGAAGAGAGAATAGAAATTTAAATGTTTGATTGATATGAGAATTATGCTATTATTAATGAGGTTTAAGTCTACTTGAGAGTTTGTGAATTCATAATTGGATCGAAGATTTATGAATTTACTTTACAATCACTCCTAAGTAGTCAATGGTAATTTTTGAATATATAGAGAAAAGCAGAATTTGTTTGAATTTCAAATGATACGCTTATTTGTTTGTTTATTTTATTCGTGAGCGACAGTGTTTATTTACTCGCGATAAGTTGCGAATATATAACAAGATTAATAATTTAAATGCCTTTGACAATGTCAAATTTAAATGCCAGACAGTCGAGCTTTAAAATCAAGCTCGGCACGGAAGTAAGATTTTTTAAATTTAAGAATCCATAATTGATATTGATAGTATCGTTCTAACGTCTAGTCTCGTTCGAACATCTAGTTAAAATCACCAATTAGCGAACAAAGTAAAATTTATTTAAAATAGATACGCCACGAATATCCCTAAGAAAGTAGCAACTTGATATTCGATCGAGCCCTCGGCAACTACGCCAAAACCCTGAACGCAAGCGCACATCATCTGGTGGGCGGCAGTGAATTGATGGCGGTGGCAACGGCGTTAGTGGCGGCTGTTTCTCTTTCATAACGACGATGAGCGATTGTAGCTTGCAGCCGTCGTGCGACACGGATGAGCGAAATTGCATGGAAAGTCGGCCGATAGCGGAATATGCTCCGCTGGATCGCCAGGGCCAGGATGCTGAGCGCTGCTGAGCCAAAGGTCGTGTCCTCGAGGTCGAGCGGCAATTTCCAACCGCGGGATTGATTCAATGAAGACGTTGATGGTTATTGATATCGGTTTCGACGCCGCTGCTGCCTTCGCTGCCGCCGCCGCCGCCGCCGCCGCCGCCGTCACCGCCAACTTAACCATGGACGTTTCTTGGCCTCTCTGGCAGACTTATTATTTACGATTATGGATGGAGCTTTGGCGAGCGCCGCGTGCTGACAATTTCGCGCAGCCCCATCGATCGTGCCTGGATTATTAAAGGTACCAGCGAATTAGCTCGGGCTTCCCTTTGTTTCGCCGGGCTCGCAAAGTCCATCGGCAGCTGACGAGAAAATTGGGTCAATCGTACGTCCTCCTTTTCCTTTAAGCATTCATCCATCCGTACTTTTTCAATGTACAATCGTGCTTTAGAGATTGCTGCTGTTCAAAAGCTCCAATCACCTAGCCGATTGTTAACAAAATATTATTATTATATTTTAATCAGGACTTAAAGGGCTCACCCGAAACTGCCACATAGTCACTTTAACGAATTATTTTATTTAATAGCGATTTCCCGTAAGCAATTGCTTCTTCATAAACTTTATATAGCATTTCGTAAATAAAGCATCCTATAATGCGTAGGGCTATTATTTAGTCTTTCGAACATTACTTTACATCATTATTTATGCAATATCTTCGTTGTGTCTATTGAGCACACCCTCGCCTCTCTAAGCTTCTTTTCAACTTTTTCTTGTACATCTATGAAGTCTAGGAGAATTCATGAAAAAGTTTGAAATAGTATTGCACGCCATACTTTTATGTACGGCTCGAACCGAACGTATTTATGTATCTGCATCTCTTTCTATACTGATTATAATATTTATTTGACAGTAATATCAATAATAAGATTTAATTTGGAATTGAAATTTCATAAATGAGAATATTTTTTATTTATTTATTTAACGATTATTTCTTATGTCGCGCTTAAAATGATAATATACTGAGATCGTAAAATCTAAATGGATTATAGTAAGTTAATATTTTTCCTCGCGTATATTTTATTTTGTTCTATGGGATATACTTCAATCTTTAATGATATATCATTTTACTGTACTTCTGTTTCTTGGAAATAATGCCATGCATAATTACTACTACTATTACTGCTACTACTGCATTAACAATCTCCTTAATTACATATATGCATGTTATAGATAAAATATGTTTAAATAGTATTGTGAACTATAATATCTAATGTATGATATTATGATTACGTAATATTATAAAATATTTGTTTTTATTTTGAGCGCATAATATAGGTTGGAATGAAATTTGTAGAACGATTAGAGTGAAATTTATTCATTATAAGATAAATTATTCTTGAGAATTTCAGAGATATTGGGAGATAAACTAAATCTTTTATTTATAATACAAGCAAAGTATGTCCACATGTATAAATTATGATGGTGAATATACAAATATTTTCGTATTAATAAAATCGTATATTATTAATTTAAAGGCCATGATGATCTAGCAATTAATTAAATGGATGTTTATATAAAAAAATATCAAAACAACATTTACTTCACATAAGAGATAACATAGACTTTAAACGTCAAAGTTTGAATTTTAGTAAGGTGATCTATACAACATTGTTTATTTAAAGTTTGACTCCTAATTATCAAATGGCATAACGTCATTTCCAAAAATATACGAATCATCGAGTAAATCTTATTTCAACATCTATATTCACGTGTATATATACATACATAGTACTTGTTGCATTGTTGTACAATTTCAGCTTATTTTTCGAACATTATCGAAAGATGCTCTGATTTTGTTGTATTAATTGAAAATTATTTTTTCTTGCCTTCTAAGTTAAATTCGACATATTTACAAGCTATAATATATACATAATTGACTATTATACCATGAAAATATTAATTAATTATTATTATTATTATTATTAATTTTAAAGTTCGAAATTAAGAAAAATGAAAATGTATTTAATAATGGTGAGTTATAATGTGTTTATAATAAACTCAATCGAAAATAAAAAAATATTTTTTCAACAATAATATGAGAATGATGTCACCACATAGCTTTTTAAGTAATATTTCAACGTTCTAAATTTTTTGTCATGATATCCGTACATAAAATATAAGAAGCAATAAAGAATTCCGAGATAAATATTAGTAAGTTATAAAGGAACACGACAAGCTGCGGATTATCACATTCCTATAATGTAAACTTGACCAATAAAAATCCCTAAAATAAAATGATAAAATTATACGTCTTATAAATAATTTACAAATATAAAATATTACAAATCAATCAAATGTTATAAACAAAAATTACCAATAGAAATAAGCATTTCGTTTAATCGCTAGTAAATAAAGCATGGAAATATAGTAAACACTTGGCAGTCGGGTCAACTAGCTATTATACACAATTTCACAAGAAAACTCGTTACCGATTCTAAAAAGCATTCGACGGTTACATTAATTTCCGTTCGAACTAAGTGGACGGATCGGTAACAAACTCTACAAATGTAAAAAACAAATAAAGTTGAGAAAACATAAAGCTCAGTCGAAGATGTATTATTTCAAATCCAATGGCAATTCTGGCGTAACCAGTCCAACCGTTTATTCTTCGAAGGAAAAAAAAACGAAGAAAAAAAAAACAAAATAAAACGTTGACAAAGCACTCGAGGTTCGCGCTTTTTCAACCCGCCGTTCTTGGCTTCCTCGGCACTCGTAAACGAGCTGCGGCGAGCTAACGATAAACTCGTCCTCCCAGCAGATGATTAGTAGCGTGCTGCCGCAACCAAGGTAGGCGATGTCCTCGATCGCCATCCTGATACAATTGAAAGGCTTGTCTTTGAATAACCAATCGACGTGTAGAGGAGAGCAATGATGGCCGTGGCATAGATAATTGGTTTAAGGAGGACTTCCGTGAACTCGAAATACCTTGGTGGTGGTTACCTAGGCCGACAGGTTCGCCATGAAGTGATTGCTATTCGGGAGGAA